CCCCCCCCTGGCCCTGTGCCCACCCTGCTCTGGGTGCAGCCCAGCACACGGGGCCTTTCTGGGCTGCCAGCCCACATTGTGGCTCATAGTTTTCCACCCCCCAACCCCCCTAAGTCCTTCTCCTGGGGGCTGCTCTCCATCCCCTCCTCGCCCAGCCTGGATTTGTGCTGGGCATCGCCCCGACCCACGGGCAGGACCTTGCCCTTGGCCTTGTTGAACTCCAGGAGGTTTGCCCGTCCCCCCTCTCCAGCCTGTCCACGTCCCTCGGGATGGCAGAAATTACAGAACATTAAAAACCAGAACTTCCAGTTGCAGGCAGAAATCAGAGCCCATCAGCCTGATTTTTGGCACAAATCGCTCGTCTTCAGCTTTGGGCCTCCATGCAGACCCCCAGCCCTTATCCCAGACGTCCACCCAGCAGCCTCCCCTGCACCCCAGTTCTCTCAGCACTCATAAAACTAAGTCATTATGGTCAAAATACAGGAAATAAATCTTTTTTTTTTCAATGTCTTCCAGCTCCAGGGCTCCTACAGGTTTACACAGAGCTGGGACCGAGTACGGAAAACAATAACTTCAGTAAATAAATTATGAAAACTAGAGGTAAATTAAATATTCTGAGTTTCTCCTTCCAAAACAATCAATACCAATTCCTGAATTCAATTCACCAACGAGAAAAGGCCAAACTCACGGGGGTACAAGGTTGAAGAGGAGTTTGAGTTATTACATCCCCAGAGCACCAGGGAAATCATTTTGATTTTACTGTATCCTGTCTTGCACAAAATATTGTCTCATGAATTTTTATTACTGAGTAGCACAGTGTAATCTGAATTTTATCTGGCCATTAAATGAAGTCATATGGAAACCAATTCGCTGTTAGTTTAACAGGGGTCTAAAGTATATTAGAAGAGTCATAAATCCTCAGGTCTGTATATCCCAATACAGCCCCTCCACTGGCATTTTGCTCAAAAAAATAAATTATATATTGATGTTACAACAGACACGCTCTTGTTAGGGATGTCTGGCTCACAGGCAAACCTTCCAGCAAGAAAAAGAAAGAAGTGCTGATGGTTTTAAGGAAAATGCCTGAATTGGTTTTGTCTTAATGCAGAAAGTGTTATTATTTATCCATTGCCCCGATGAAATCGTGACACGTGTTGCGAATTAAAGCGGAAGATTACCACGTTGATCCCATCGTGAATTCCCTGCCTTGCCCTGAGCTTTACTCTTTAAAAATCAAATTGCCGGCATTTCCAACTGCTCGCTTCTAGATAATAAAATCGGATTTCCTTCAAGTCCACAAACACCTTTAAACAATAATATTCTTTGTGGTTTTCTGGGATAAAATTAAGTTATTCTTCCTGATAACAGAGAAAAAACGCTTCCCCCCACCCCCCCTCACCCCTAAACCTGGCCTGGAGCCAGACTCGCCTCTGGGCAAACCCAAAGCACCGCTGCCACGAATCTGCCCATCGCCCAGCTCCACCCCTCCTGTCCAGTCAAGAGGACACTACAATCATAAATTAAAAAAAAAATTAATTGCCAGCCAAGCTGATCTCGGTGCAATATAGCTCTCTGCAGTAGTCGGGGAAGGTCGGGGACTCTTTCTGCACTCGGGGCGTCTCCTCCTTCCCAGCCCCGTCCTCTGGGATAAGTTTTTCTCTCCATTTAGGGCGGGAGGAACGAAGCAAGATACCAACAAGCTTTGTTTTAAGGAAGGGTGAAACTCCCC